ACACACACACACGCGCGCACGCACGCACACACACACACTTTCCACTATGCCAAGGAACTGCTGCAAGGCAAATTCTCACAAACACTAATGGCTTCTGACTGCTCCTTGGCAACCCCAGCATTTTAACCTGGGTGGATATGCTCTCCAAAATACAGACACTGGAGCTATCTCATCAGCTGTTCATGTGACACAGATGGAGAGTGGCTATTAGGAGCCAGGCAATGGGCCTTGGGGATCTGAGGTGCTGTACTGTAGCCTCAGGCAGTTTTGAAAAGCAGTACCCGGAGATGGGGGGAAAAAAATCCCTACTGAAAGTGCAAGTTTGAAGTCAGTCAGTCTGTTTGTCTATCTGTCGTGCGGATAAAGATATCTTTGTCTCTTTATGTAAAAACTATGTGTGTATGCACAGGATGCGTGGAGCTATAAAACTTCCGCGCTGCACCATCCTTTCGCACCGCAGAAGCGCCAGTTCACTATCTGTACAGACAAATCCCTGTTTGTCTGCATATACATACTCTCCCATTTGTGCACATCCTCAAGCAGTAGTCGCCTACATGCTAAATCAGTGTTTAGACCTTTCGGAGAGGTTGTTATATCCTGGTTTTAAAAAGCTAATAGCAGCCCAGGAGAGGGAAGTTCATCTGGAGCTCCCATTGCCTTCCCACCTTAAGCAGCAGTAGAAGCAGCAAGAGTCGGTGCTTCCCTATTCTGTTCCATAACCTCATGAAAGGAAATTCAAATATCATACCTCCAAATGACCTCAGAAGATGAATACAGAAAGATTTGTTGTTCCTGGTAAACTACAAGCCCAATTCTATTAAGCTCTATTGTCATATCTTTAATAGGTCTACAACTGCTCATGTTAGTGGATACTGTTTCCAGTGGCAAGAAATCCTAGAAGTAGCCCATAACTGACTTTTCCAAGATGGAAGGATTTATGTCTTGGATATGGAGGGCCTGATCTTAGTTTGCTGTATGCAAGTAAACATGAGTTACTTTAAATGAAGAAAAAGAAATTATCAAAAGTGAAATAAAGTTGACAGACATGCAAGTCACTCTATGGCAGATTGGATTAACTATATTTTTAACTGCTGTATGGAGGAGTCCAAATGTAAATCATTTAAACTATCATTACAATTTATTCCGCTTATGTGAACTGTTCACATCCTGATTTGGATGGTAATTTGTAAGAAGAGTAGAGTCAAGTCCTAACTTGTATGGAAATTGCGATTATATAAGCACAGTTATCCCAATTTTCTAGTGGGAAATTAAGTCTAGATTTTGACCCACTGACTCTTTCTTTCATGTAGCAGAAAAAAAAGGAAAAAGAAAAAAAAAAAGGTGACTTTCTCCTGTTTTGCACAATGTTCACTTGACTATTCTTGTGCAAAACCCTATCCCTGTTCTAGGAAAGTGGAGAATTCCTAAGGGGCACGCTCTTTGTGGAGGTGTCAATGACTACGCAGGATTCAAGCCAGTAGAGAGTTAGGCATATTACCCAGCTTGTTTAAGATTATATCAATGCTATGCAATAGTCTCAATAACCCCTATAAAAGGTGGAGAGAGTTTACAGGAAACTTTGCAAAGTGACCCACACAGGGTTCCTTTAGAGACCTTCCCTTCTAGGGGAAGGGTTTGCGGAGGAGGCTGAAGATGCAGAAAATTTTTACGCAGCGGGAAGTTAGGCTTCCATACTAGCTCTGTGTTCAGGCACTCCTAGCACCTGCTGAGGGTTTCTTCCTACAAGATACTTTTTTTTTTTTTTTTTTTTTGCATTGAAAGCAAAGGAGACTACCTCTTATTTAAAAAATACCGAATAAGTAGTTAGAGCAGGGTTTCCATTGCACCATAATTTCAAACAACTTGCAGCAAACTGATTCCTTAGACAAACTAGTTGCTGACCCCAATGTTCATACAGCTAAGGGCTCTTTGGGAAACAGAGTCCAGTCCTACAGAAGACCTCTCCAACCTTATTGTATCAATGAATTCCTCTTTGACAGTCCTCCACATTAACAGTATCATCTCAACCCCAGTCCTTGTTTGTGTTCCTCACAGAGTAAAGACCCAGCAAGAGCTGAAGCAAGTGCTGTTTAGAAGCTTCTCATCTAGTCTTTTCACCATTTGTGAACAGGATGAAAGATTCCCAACATACACAAAATGATAACTGAAAAGGATAACCCAGTCAGGACAAAGCACAGGAGCCTGGTAACAGCCCAGATTAAAATTCTAGAAAGAGTTTCTATTACCATCATAACAAGCAGAGCAGTAAGAAAAGTGATTTCTAGAAAAATACATTTGAGGACCCAGTGTTTGGGTTCCTTCATCATCACAGGTCCCTTGCAGCTTCATGGTTTGTCATGCTAAAGGAAAAGAGAAAAGAGCAGGGGTACCTAAGGCAGGGGGAAGACAAGACGTTTCACCATTTTTCTAAAAATAGTGCAAGCAATATGAAAATTAAACTAAAGGATTCTGAAAAGGAAAGCTGCAGTGCACTATGCTGATCTTAAGTAAACTTTTCTACAATCTTTCAGTCCATTATTTTTGATGCAGTAGAATACGTAGATATAAGTGGAAAACAAAGGAAAATCTGCATGCAGCTTATATTCACAATTTGCAATTATTTGTTCGTACTTACAATGTGTCCAGATGGACACATAAGTATTGCAAACCACTATTAATAAGGATGTTCAACTTAGTAATATGATCCACATCACCACCAGAGAAAAATCTGAAAAATCTGGTTAATTACCACTGCCAAAAAGCTGGAAAGAGAAGTGTTTGAATACGTTTTGAAGATAAGACAGTCTGTGCTGTAGGGAGGACTATTAGACAGGGAAGGTCAGCTCCAGAATCAAAGACCCTTCAGGAGAACTCCTTAT